TTTACAAACTGTATTATCTGTCACATCACCAAATCTTTAAGTCTCGTTCCTCAAAACATAAATAATCCATGTATTCTGAACAAGTGTTAGGATACATGTTTCGTAAGTTTAATCATATTTAAAATGTAGTATTAGTGGCTTATTTTTAAGAAACAATACATCTTTTGTCAAGTAAATAATCACTCTGAAGTGTACCAGTTTTCACAAGATGATTGTTTAGAATGATGTATAGTTAAAGAATAATGTACTAAATAGTTATCAAGGAGCATAAAATAGTTAATTCAGCTATTAGATGCACTGGGAAAGTCTGGCTAAAGGAATTTTAGTAAGCTAAAGTCTACAATAAAATGAATAAATGAATCTTATCAGGGAGCATACTAAAAATTACCAAAAATGTTCACTGTCTTCTTTCAGATCAAACAATACTTTATGGTATTCCAAGTTGCTTCATTTTTAAAACATGACTAACTACAATGCCAGTGCTTCCAAAACCAACAGTGACCTCACTTTTAAAACATTCTTGTCAGGATAACATTTTCTTTCTAAAACATTACACTCATTCCTTTTAGCCAACCCTAATATTGAGTTCCCAAAAGTTTAATCAGCTACATTTTTTTTCTATCAAATAGGCCAATTGTTACAACATTTTTTTGGAGGAAGGGGAATGTTATGAAAAAAAAATGGCTGCTTTAAATGGTAGTCTAAAAAATGCACTCTTGTCAGGAAGAACGGCTATATTTGGTCACATGTCATATTACTAGGGAAAATTTTATCATTTTATATGTGTCCATTTTGGTTAAAGACTAAAATCTGTATTAGAAATCTTCGCACTGACCTAGATCACTTAACTACACAAGATGATCTCCTTACGCATTCTGAATTTTAAACTCCTACCACGGTGCTGAAGTGGTCCAGTTAAGGAAGCATCAGGTAAGAGTAGTCCTGGGCTATGAGTTAACCTAGCAGACTCTAGGGTCATACTACAGTATCAACAGAATGCTGGTATTAGAAGGACATGATCTGTGAAATGCTGTAAAAGGTTTTATTTTATCTTTTAACCAACTTTAATGGTATCAAATAAACAAATGGCATGCAAGTTTCAAGGGGGAAATGTTCATAAAGAAAATTAGTGTTTAGATTCAAAAATAAACCAAATAGAATGAAAAATTCTGAACAGGAAAATAGATACTCCAAGATAAATATGCCTGTCTAGTAAAAAGAACTTAATGCACAAAAAATTTATTCTCAAAAATTCCTCTAGGCTTCAAAAAGAAATATAGATTAAATATGGTTTTCTTTTCTCTCTCTCTCCCTCTCTCTCTCTCTCTCTGTCTCTCTCTTGTGGCATGATCACACCGCTCACTGTAGCCTCAACCTCCCAGGCTCGGGTGATCCTCCTACTTCAGCCTCCTGGGTAGTTGGGACTAGACCTGGGCTGGTTTTTTGTATTTTTACTAGAGAAGGGTTTCACCCTGGTGCCCAGACTGGTCACGAACTCCGGGGCAATCTGCCTGCCTCAGCCTCCCAAAGTGTTGGGATTACAGGTATGAGCCACCGCCCCCGGCTTTAAATATAGTTTCTAACATCATTTAAATGATCTCCTATAAAATTATAAACATAGTTTAAATGAAAACATGTGGCTACATTTTATAATCCTATGTCAAGTTTCTAAACCGTGAAGTTTTACCGTGAGTTTAAAAAAAAAAAAAAGGCCTAGAAGAAGCACTGGTCTGGGGACAGTAAAAATAGTAACCATAATGGTAACAGAGCTTACTACAAAATGCTTCCTTTATAAACCAAATCCATGAATTATCTTATTAAATCTCATAATTATCCTATGGAGTTGAGATATTATTATTTATTATTATTACAGAAGGAAAAACAAAAACTCAGGGAGTAAATTAATCTCTCTTGGGTGACAGAAGTAATAAATTACAGAAATTAAAAATTGAGTATTCGTGGCCATACAATGAAGTTTTAAACTATTTAGGAAGTACATTCACTGTTTTTACATGCTGTAAAGGTGCATGAAACTCCAGAAATGTTTCTGAAAAGCTTTCTAAAAAGAAATGATTGTATATGAACATCTTTGCCTTTCATATGAGAAAGTAAGGGAAAAAATGTAACTTTTCTATCATATAGTGCAGTTGGATAAGAGACACTACTGGTCCTGTCATTTTTAAAATAGGAGTTTTGCTACTTAAAAAATGTAAAAATTATTGAACTGGGTAATTATCTCTAAGGTCTCTTTCTGCACTAAAACCTGTTTAAACCTGGAAATAGAATTGTTTATCTAATCATCAAAAAGAATTAATTCCACCACCTTATGACTGAATTAAAGTACCTTCCAGCAAATCCTTGATATAATATTAATGCAGAAAAGTTTTAAAGATGGTCTAAGATCTAAGAGAAGAAAATGAAAAGTCTCTTGCCTCCTTTTAACTGACATTTATATTGGAAAGACATCTTCTATGACTGTTTTTCAGAATGTGGACTGGGACTGATTCATGGGTCATGAAATCAATTTAATGATTTACAAACAGCATTAAAAAAACTGAAAGCAACAGAATAAGAAAATGCCTGATAATTACATTGTAAATAGTAAGGGTTAATAATTACTTCATAAAATCTATCTGCTTACATAACTGTGCACTCAGTCATGATGTAAAATGTATTTTTTTAGCACAAGCATCAATCCAAAGAGATTGAAAGACACTATGCTAGAGTGCCAAAGTATATTTTGCATGTAATACATCTCACATGAAAAGAGTAATTTAATTAAATTTTGATGACTGGCGTTTCCAGGATCTATACCTCAAATATTTTGCTTTTTATAATACAGTAAAATTACTGACATGCTGAAGAGCCAACTCTACGAAACATGCAAAGAAATTCTAGGAATGCAGCTTGATCAACAGTGTTCCAAAGAAACATCAACAGAAAACTATTTGTGAAGAAACAAATACAATGTTTAAAGAAGGTATCTGAAGGAAACCACGCTCCTTGGAGAAATGGTGATTCCAAGTCTTGGCAGAAAAATACAAGGTGAAAGGGGAACATCTTACTGTGTCAGAAAGCAAAAAAGCTATCAAAGATTAGGTTGTCTCAAAGGATGTAGAAGTCAGTTTAACGGTTTCCCACTGATCAAAGATGAACAACTTGGGCATCAAAGAGAACAGCAGATTGAAACACAAACATTATAAAAATTCAAGGCTGGGTGTGGTGGCCTCACACCTGTAATCCCAGCACTTTGGGAAGCTGAGGCAAGCGAATGATTGCTTGAGCCCAGGAGGCTGAGATCAGCCTGAGCAATGTGGTGAAACACTATCTCTACAAGAAAAATACAAAAATTAGCCACCAGGCGCAGCAGCATGTGCCGGTAGTCCTAGCTACTCAGGAGGCTGAGGCTGCAGTGAGCTGAGAGCTCCACTGCGCTCCAGACTGGGCAACAGATCCAGACTTGTCTTTAAAAAAAAAAAAAAAAAAGAAAAGAAAAGAAAATGCAAGAGTTCAAATAAAACAACACTGATCACCTCCATGATTGCTACGGTTTCAACTTAATGTTCTAAAATCTAGTAAACAGAAGAATCAGGCATTTTTTTTCTTCCCTTTCCTCCACCAATGTTATTGTAGCTGTATCCAGAGAGTTTACAAGGACACGTTCTTTGCAAGAATTCCAGTTTGGAAGAAAAATGCAGGACAGATATATAAAGTCACCAAATTATAATCCATAATAATAAATGATGAGCCTTGACTGTTAAAAACCATTAGATAAAAGACTGATAGAGAACTTTATACCTGATAGGTTAGGCTGGCAACACCTAAACCCACTGATCAATTTTAACATTACTGAAAGTGGGACAAAGCCTCCTACTAGAAGCTAGTAGGAAGTACATCTAATAATATGAATAGTATTCCCCTAAAAGAGAACTGAACCTAATCAGTCCTCTAGATCTAACTGCGAGGTTATAGGAAATACAAGGGCCAGAAAAAAATGTAAAAAAAGACCACAAAGATGCAATCAACTAAATTCAAAATATGGAAAATTCTACAAGACCTAGTCTCTTCAATAAATAATGACAAGAAAAAAAATAGGACAGGAAATTGTAGTAGGTTAAAAGAAACTTAAAAGATTCACTTTAATGTAATATTGTAGACCTTGTTTGGATTCCGATTTGAACAAATCAAAACAGGATTTTTTTTCCAATATTGGGCAATATGAATATAGACTGGATATAAAGGACTTATTTTTTTTTAGTTAAGTATGATAATAATCATGTGGCTTTGTTAAAAAGAGATAAAATATTTTCCATAAGAATAAAGCATGACATACATAGAGCAATTTAATTAGTAGATTAATAGGTAAAGAAATACCTTGACATGCACGTAGTTCCTTTCCAACAACATTTCGTTTTTTTGGTAGATACAAGCTAAACATCTCTACTCTGAAAATCTGAAATGCTCCAAAATCTGAAACTTTTTGAATGCCTATATGACACCACAAGTGGAAAATTCTACACCTGACTTCATGTGATGTTTGAAGTCAAAACTTTGTTTTATGCATAAAGTTATTAAAAATATCATGGAAAATTACCTTTAGGCTATAAGGTATGTGTATGTGTATGTATGTATATATATGTGTGTATATATATAATGTTTAGTCCTGGGTGCCATCCCCAAGTTATCTAATTATGTATATGCAAATATTCCAAAATCTGAAAAAGTCCAAATGTAAAACACTTCTGGTGTGAGGGCTTTCAGATAAGGGATATTCAACTTGCATTAGAATTCCAAATCACTAAAAACACTCTCAACCAACGTCCTACCTTTTAAGGAGGGTATTAAGGATACCTCAGTTGAGTAAATGTCAAATAACTAAGTTTTGTTTTTGTTTCATGATGTTTTTCCATTTATAAAGTAAACATACACTTCACATATAATACTTTAAAATATCACAAATGTATAATTATGTCACCATAAATACAGTATTAAAAACTTACAAAACAGCAGGGCTGAGGAGCAAGCACGTTTCATGATCCTCTTCTTGAAGCACTGAACTTATTTTCTTTCCTGTAGCTTTACTTATAGATGTCTTGAGTTTCTTAGCTAGCTTTCTTGGTGTGTTGGTTATAGAAGATTCTTCTGTACAGCAACTATATACTTCCACCTTTATCTGAAAGTCTGGCCCTGCTTCATTACTAAAAACAAGGGCATTCATAATGTTAGAAATTTAACTCAGTAGAAAATAAAATTACAACATTCTTTTATGTTTATGTAACATTTAAAATCAGCATTTGACATCAGGAAAATGCAAATTAAAACCACTATGAGATACTACTTCACACCCATAAGGATGGATATTATCAAAAAGGCATGAGATAAATGTTGACGAGGGTATGGAGAAAAGGGAACCCTAGTACACTGCTGGTGGAGTCATTATGGAAAGCAGTATAGAGGTTCCTAAAGAAATTAAAAATGGAACTACTACATGATCCAGCAGTCCTTCTTCTGGGTTTATACTCGAAGGAGATAAAATCATTACCTTGTGAAATTATCTGCAATCACCTGTTCATTGCAGCATTATTCACAATAGCCAAGATACTGAAGAAACTATAAGAATGCAGCATTATTCACAATGGCCAAGATATGTCCACCAACGGTAAAACAGATAAAGAAAATAAAGTATGTGTGTATACACACACAACAGACAACCATTCTGCCTTAAAAAAGGAGATCTTGCCATTTGCTACAACATGGATGAACTTGGAGGATATTAAGTCAAATAAGCCAAGCATAGAAATAAAAATATTGTATGATCTCAATTATATGTGGAATATCTTTTAAAAAGAGCTCAAAACCATAGAAATAGAGAATAAAACAGTGGTTACCATGGGCAAGGATTGGGGGAGAGTAAATGGGGAGATGTAGGTCAAAGGACACAAAATAGCAGATATGGAGGATGAACAAGTTTAGAGATACAATGTACTGTAACAACATGAGGACGAATGTTAATAAAATTGTGTTAGAGAGTTTTGTTATATAGATTTTAGCTGCTCTTGTCACAAAAAAAGTAACTATGTGAGATGACAGATGTTAATCTGTTTGATTATAGTAATATTTTACTATTTATATGTATCCTGTAACATCGTGTTATAAACCTCAAATATACACAATAAACTTTCTTTTTAAAATAAAGAAAAGACTGCAGGGGAGCCAAGAGAAGATTGCAGAATCTCCTCAATAAGTGCAAGGTTTATGGGGGAAAAGTAAGAATTTCGAATAAGTTTATGTTAAAATACGTTAATGAGACAGAATCTCTCAGTGTTTACTTGGCATCTAAATGGCCTGAGAGACTTACTGCAACTTTCAGAGATATCAGCTTCAAAACTATGGCAATCTTAATTCAGTTTAACCAATATATACATAGGGATGTTAAAGAAAGAATAAAATACCCTGGTCATTTTGTTGCCAATACTATTTCCCCTTGTCATTCCTTTAATACATTTTTAAGGTATTTATAAGTGTAATTTTTTGAAATGACTGTTCTTCCAAAAAAAATCTGCTAAACCTTTAGTTTTCATTTCTTTATAAAGAGTCACTTATAGTGCACTCTTCACTGTGTCCCCTGACCCGCCCCGACTTTTGCACCTAATAACTATAAATAACATTTTACTATCTGGTTATATAGGGGAAAATATATACTTCAAAGCATGAACTCCTTGAGAATGGCTGCTGTCTGGGTGATCTTTGTGTTCTTAATCTAGTATTGTGCCTGGAATGTAGAAAGTACTAGATATATATTTATTAAATCAATATACAAAATTCTGCAATTTTAGCAAAAGTTAAGATGGGCTTTGCCCTTCTTCAGACACAATGAACTACCTTTAGCATTAAAGACTGTGGTAGTGTTACTAACAATAAAATATACTTAAGACTGCAAAAGAGGTCCATCAGCAGCAGATGTTACTTGCAGATGGAAGATCCATCAGTTTCAGAGATTTAAAAAATGGAGCACAGACTTTTAAAGATATAAATGGCCAATCTATAGTTTGAATAAATCCCAGGAATAACTTCCAGCTATTTTCATAGTTTATTATTTGGCAACTTTTAAACATACAATATTTCTGGTAATGACTAAAAAAGTCAATATTTAGAGAAAAACCAGAGATTCATAAATATTGAATACTTATTAAAAACAATCATCATAACAAAAAGCACATTTTTCAACATTTATAACATTTGTCAGCAGTTATTTTTAGAACAATTTAAAATATTTACAGAATTCTCAAAAAATTATAAATCATGTGTCTTCCTAACTTCTATTGTTCTTTCCCTGGAAAAAAAAAAAGTCTGATTTTTGTCTCCATGATAAAAACAAACAATAGCAAAGTGATGTGAAGAAAAGGGCCCATTAACGGGTAATTTTGGCAGGAAAAAAAAAATTCACTAGCAATAGCTGATAATGGAAATAAATGTACCCAGATAACTAAGAAAAAAGTAACTTTTTTTAGCCTCAATTATGTAAGCATTTGGGGATATCTTTTGGACCCTAAATAAATTCCTTTGGTTCAATACAGCTTATAAGAAGGCCTGCATTACTACTTATAACTCAGAACAATGCATTTTATTTTTCCAGGCTATACTATTACTATGAGACACTGGACCAGAAGCCACAAAATATGGTTTGCTACAGGTTTTTTTAATGTTATGTGAGTGGCAAAACTAGGCCTCTGAAATCTCACCTGTCTAGCTCCATAGCTGAAAATGGCAAAAACCATGCATATGGGTTTTTATATTAATAGTTAGTAGCTATTAACATTTAGATCTAAAGATCATGTCTTCAAAAGTCTAAAATACAAATCCCACACTGATTTAGGCACACAGAACCTTTGAAGGAGGGCAGGAAAAACTATGTTAGTTAAAAATGATTTCTATGGCTACCCAAGGAGTTCTTTCTTGTTCTGTATTATGACCACAATAAAATGAGCCTGTAAAAGAGCAGGGACCATAAAAACAGCCCTGAGGATCACCCATTTTTTTTATTGTTTTGAAGTACATGAAAGAAGTGCACCATAAGAAAAAGAACACCCCAAAATTTCAAAGTGCTCTTCCTATAGCATGTACTTCAGGACTATTTTGTAAATAAAGTTGTTATACTATTGTAGTATTTCTGCAACCAAATATCCTACATGAGATAAAAATCCTGTTTTATGCTTAAATTATCTCTTATTATCTCTTAAATTATCTCTTATTTTATGCTTAAATTATCAAATAACATCACAGGATATTCTGTTGTATGCAAAGCTTAGTTAATAACTGAACTATAAGTCAAATATTTATTGCTAACAGTAATTACAATATTTCCATTTTTATTTTACATCAGAAAATTGCAGAGAGAAAAGGACTTCTTCTGAACAAAGTAATTTTTAAAATCATATTAAACATTTAAAGATCACTTAAACATTTAAACATAAAAAGAATCCAAAAACCCAGTAAGAACTTCCTTTTAAAAAAGAATTTTAGATTTTTCTCTGAAGATTAAAAAATACTTACAATATGGTTACATTTTCAAAACATATATCTGTGATTGTTTTATCTACATTCACCACATCAGTATCAAACACATTAGCTCCCATTTTGAATAAACAAAAAATGGCATAGCATTGCGATCCTGGAGGAAAAATAACAACATATTAAGCAACGATCCATGTAATAAATCATTATGTTAAAATCTACTTGAAAATGAAAAATATTAGCTTAAAGATTATTAATAGACTCTTTTCATACATTGTATATTGTAACCCTTAAGTCTTACAGTGACTGTTCTGCCAGTATATAGGAATACCTTACTCAACTAGAACACAACAATTAAACAAGGAAGCAAAAATAAAGTTAAATATATAGGCGTCTCAGCAGCCTAAAGAAACCACCAAACTCATAAATTTTATTCCTATTAAACTCCTTAAGCTTTAATTAATAGTAAACTTTATATACACGCACACGCACGCGCACACACTCACACACACACTACTACCTCTGTCATTTTGGTTTCCAAGTCTATTTAAGAAAAAGATGTTTTTTATTAGAAGAGGTTAAGAGTAGGCACATTAACGACAGCAAAATATTTTCCACCAAACTAACAGCAAGGGAGGAAACCACAAGAAAAAAAAAAAAAAAAAAACAATAAAATAGACATGAGAACACAAAAAACATAGCTGCTGGGCCTTTTCATTTGGTGGTGTTTTAAAAAGTATTAGGTGATTAAAGGGCTAAATCCTCATTTTGAGAAAATGTTGCTCTTCAGAAAAACTTATTCTCTTTAGTAATCAGAAAGCTTTACTTAATTCCCACATGTATTCCTTTGTAAAGTAAATTATATTTCCTAATTGAATAACAAACACTAACCTGATTTTAAATTCTTCATATAAAACTAATTATGCTTAATATGATTCAGTTTTTAAAGTACAAGGAACAAAGCTATCACAATAGACAACGAAGATAAAGTATTATCATATCTTTCCTGCTTTGCCTCTAACAGCTAGAAATCATTTGAGGTTAATTTCCATGACCTAAGCAATACATGGATTTGTAAAGACTATATAAAACCATAAAATACTGAAGGAAAAAAAATCAGATCAAGCTAAAAATTTTTCCTTATTTCATCCTGTTAAATAACCTGAAGTAATGAAATAAGGCAGAAAAATCTTCCAGACTCTGGTCAAATACAAGAAATGTTGGCTTTACCTTTATTCACTAAACATTTTCTTCTGCTTTACCTTTATTCGCTAAACATTTCCCTTCCCCCGTTCCCACTCTGAACCCAGTACTCACTGTCCTTGCACTGGTTCCTATCAACAACTAAAAGTACACTACATATGCACTATATTAATTAGTATCAAGTAACTGCAACATATTTATATTAAAAATCAGAAAACGGTTCAAGATGCTGCTTATTCAAATGACATCAATTTATTTCAGTAAGGAAGCAGGATTTTTTCTCAAAAATCAGATATACTACATACTAAAGAAAACATTTCAATTACAAATTAAAATCATACATACGTTCTTTATTGCTGAAGTGATCAGTGTCTTTCCACATTAGTGGTATTCGAATATCTACAAAGAAGGGAAAAAGAAATGACAAGTAATAATTTTGTTAAGTTTTATTCTTTACAGTGACCTGAACCTCTGCATTCCATAATAATTCTGACTATTAAAGCTAACATAAAGTGTTATCGTTTAAAAGCACATTTTCTAGATGTTGTTTATAGCTTGTACTTTTAAAAGTTATTTAATCTGTGAAATTACTGTGTGATGTAAAAATATATTCTTCTTATAAAAATAACTGTTCTAACTCCATATATGTTTCTTCCTTACTGATTAATGATGACATCTTTATCATATATGCCATTCTGAGTAAATACCTGTTCCTTGACTATACTTTTATGAATCTGAATCATTTATTAATTACTGTCTAGCTAAATACCAACACCGTATTATTTTTCCTTTTTTTTTTTTTTTTGACAGGGTCTTGCTCTGTTGCTCAGGCTGGAGTGCAGTGGTGCCACCATGGCTCACTGCAGCCTTGAACTCTAGGGCTCAAGCAAATCTCCCACCTAAGCCTCCCATGTAGCTGAGACTACAGGTGTGTGCCATCTGTTGCCCAGGTTTGAGTGCAGTGGCGCGATCTCAGCTTGCTGCAACCTCTGCCTCCCAGGTTCAGGCGATTCTCCAGTCTCAGCCTCCCAAATAGCTGGGACTACAGGCATGTGCCACCACCCCTGGCTAATTTTTTTCTATTTTTACTAGAGATGGGGTTTTACCATGTCAGCCAGGATGGTCTTGATCTCCTGACCTTGTGATCAGCCCGCCTAGGCCTCCTGAAGTGCTGGGATTACAGGCGTGACCCACTGCGCACGGCTGCCTACTTTTTACACCTTTTTTTTTTTTTTTTTTTTTCGTCGAAACAGAGTTTCACCATGTTTGCCAGGCTGTTCTCCAACTTCTGGGCTCAAGCAATCTGCCCTCCTTGGCCTCCCCAAGTGCTGGGATTACAGGCATGAGCCACCATGCCTGGCAACATTATACTATTGTAACTATTGTACCTTTATAATATACTTACTGATCTGTTAGATATATTTCTTTTCTGAAAACACCTTATTCTTACTTGCTAATTTCTTTATATAAATTTTAGAACAAATCTTGTCAAAATCCCCCTTCCCCAAGTGTTTTATTAGTATTCCATTATCTAAATTAATTTAGGAACTGATAACTTTATAATATTCTGTCTTTATATAGAATAGCATAACAATTTGCCTTTACATTTTATTAAGGTTATTCTTGAATAATTAATATTTTTGTTTTTTGGAGGTTTTATTGTAAAGGATATCTTTTTTGGTATTATATTTTCTAATTAGTTATTATTGATTTTAAGATAAAGTACCACTTTTTGTATATTTATCTTGAATCCAGCCATTTTTACTGAATCTTTATTCATTCAAATAGAGTTGAAGTAAATTCTCTTAAGTTTTGTAAGTTTACAATCTATTATCTTTTTTTTTTTTTTTTTGAGACAGAGTCTTGTTGTATCACCCGGGCTCGAGTGCAATGGTGTGGTCTCTACTCACTGCAACCTCCACTCTCCCCCTAACCCCTGTCCCCGGGTTCAAGTGATTCTCCTGCCTCAGCCTCTGGAGTAGCTGGGATTACAGGCATGCGCCACCACACTCGGCTAATTTTTGGATTTTCAGTAGAGACAAGGGGTTCATCATGTAGGCCAGGTTGGTCTCAAACTCCTGACCTCAAGTGATCTGCCTGCCTTGGCCTCCCAAAGTACTGGGATTACAGGCGTGAACCACCGTGCTGGGCCTACAATCTATTATCTTAAAACAGTATTCAATTTATCTATTTATTTTCAATAGTTTCATCTTTTATCCTTATTATTTTAGCTAGAATTTCTAAAATTGTTAAATTATATTGATATAACAGACACTGTAATTTTGTTTTTGATTTCTATGAGAATGCTTTATTGTTTTGTAATTATGACTTGGCTGATATCCTGCCAAAAAGTCCACTTCTTCTTGCTTGACCACAGCTGCTGACTCATTTCATTTCACAACTGTACTTATTCACAGCTGTTCTTGCTCTGTTAGGATTAACAGAGCATTAACTATTTACACTATCATGGGAGGGACACGGATCCTGACTTCCTTTGCTGTACACTCACAACCTGTGGGTCAGCCTTCTTCTATCCCATGCCTAAGAGAGGAGGGTAGATATCAGCTCCACAAGAGGAGAAGTTGGATACCGATTTCCCAGGTAGTCTTGCGCTCTTCAGACAGCAATGGATTTGTAACCCATCAATTCTATTTCTGAATTCAGCTTCCAATAATAGAACTTCCTTCAGGTTCTTGCAAATGGCTCAGTTTCAGTTTGCAGTACTCTAACCTTTGTCTTGTTTTATGTCTTCATTGACATTTTAATGGTAAACTGAGAGAGTCATAATAAGACAGCTGACTTGATGCTATCAAGTCCCAGAAGTCTGTCTATCATTTTCAAAAGTGAAAACTAAGGTACTTGGTGAACTGATTTGGTTTATTCATTAAATTAGTAGTCGGTGACTAAGCTAATTACCACAATATAATTACGGTAAGTACTACATTTACATATGGTAAATATTTGGTGTTCAGCAGAAATAATAAGAGTAAATTAGTGATTTAGTTTCATAAAGACCTGGCCAGGGAGTGGTGTAGCTGGAAACAAAAAACTCAGGTATTTTCTGGCTATCAATGTATCAAAACATTATGAAACTTCGTTGCAAATATTCATCTTTACCAAAGCAAAGGTCACATTTTCATCCCAGTAGCAAAAGAAAATGGATTTATAAAGGTGAATTCATTTTTTATTTTGTTTTTACAAACACATACAAGATATAATTAAGTCTAGGCAAAGATGAAAAGACATTACGTAAGTATCTGATTTTCTCAGAGTTTCCGTTCCTTAATTTAATTTAAAATTATCTTTTGGAAAGAAGAAACACATGTAGAAATATGTTCAATTTTTACATTTGAGTAATTGTGGGCAGGAAATAGTTTTTTATTTTATTTTAAATACTTTTACTTAATAGACTCCTTCTAAATGTACAGTTATTTCTATTATGAATTGGTACAATCAATAAACTTATGAAATGACAATAGATGTTGACTATCATGGCATTTGAGTGTTTAACAGCAACTTAACATATCTCATTTATATACTGAGTGGCACTATATTAGAAGCAAGAAACGAAGGATATGTTTAGTTTTTATAAAATCTCAAAGATGTACAGTAATTGATTCACAAAAAATTTATTACACATAATAAACAATACTACATAAAAGTACATGTTTGACAGCAAAAGGATACAAAGATAAAACATGTTTTGTTTTGTATTATAAAGATTAAAAACAACTATAAATAACTATAAAACAAGCAACAAATTTTTACATATTCCAGTTATTTTCTGAAGAATATTGTGCTTAGCTGAATGCAATTCTTCAGATTTTGGCCATTTATGTACTTTGTAAAATGTAGGTCTACCGTCCTGTGTGATAATTTTGTTTATCCAGAAAAATATTACTAGAAACAGTCCCTTAGGTGACGGTGCCTCAAATGTAGCAGGCTCTCTAGTACAAGACTTTTGGCCAATAATCTAGTGATTACTTAAGGACCCACGGAGGTATATACTGTTGTTTCGAAAATGTACTGACAAGAAAATAGTTGTAAAAGTGCATTATCTGACTACTGTACACACCAGTCAGCCATGTATTCATTTCAGTCTGTGGCATCTACAAGCCATTGTCTTTAGCTTCCTGAACCCTTTGGAGAAACTGAGACTGCACAGCATAAGTGCCATCTAGTGGTGAAGGGTCTCCTAACTGCATGAGGAATTCAGAGAAAGGAAACATCATTTCTAGCTGGAATGGTAACAGAGATTATATTATATATAGATGAACAAACAGATCTTTAAGAGAATGTAGTTATTTCACAAGCTAATTGGGTGTCAGAAGCATGGGTTATGTTGCCAGGACAAGAAGAGAAATGTCTGCTAAAGCAGACAGCTTATGTTTAGGAGTAACAGAAGATATGACTAGAAAAAAAATTGGGTCAAACTGCAAGACTGAAGAAAAATGTGTGGTCTTTACACTACAGGCAATGAAGAGCAGCCATTCATCCAAGAGTCACTGAGCAATTACTATGAGCCAAGCACTGTGCTAGCTTCTAGGTATAAAGTGATGACCAAAATAAACATGGTACCAAAACCTTATGGAACTTCTGACCCAGACAAAACATTAAAAACATTATAGCTTCTGAGCAGGAAAGGAACAGAGTCAAAAGACTTGGGTTTGGCCCAGCTCAGTCACTTACCCTCTGAATCTGTAGAAAATAACAATTACTCTATCTATTTTACAAGGGTGCACTAAGGAGAAAACTGTAGAGTATGTAATGTATAAAACAGTTTTCTTAAACTCTAAAGTTCTATATAAATGTAGCACATAATGCTGAAAACAGTGTTTTAGAACAAATATTCTGATAGAGGCATTAAAAACAAAATGAAGAGAATGGAGACAGGGCATGAACCAAAATCCACCATGTGGTTATGTTATAGAATTTATTCAGCAATATAAAAGATTCATTTATAGCATACCTGATATGGCAATCTTTCCTTTACACGCTGTTCGTTCTTTACTTTCAAATTTCACATCACTGTCAAAACAAAAAACCTTATGGAAAAAAAGATCTTTTCTAATAAGCAATTGTTTTAACAGTGTTTCACAAATGTCGAAATATTAAAAGCAAATGTGTATCCATGAATAATGACTTCCAGTTAATGTAAACTATTTGATTCAAACTTTAAGATGTTTAGTCAACAGTTAGCAAGTTAAAAGAAATATTTGGAGCCCTGATTTTTCATATAAACTTTATATTCCTTGATGACTGTATACTGGTTACTTTACGATGAAAGACTTTTGTGATCACTTGTATCTGTAAACAAGACGTACAATATTTGTCCATGTCCCCAGAAGTATAATACCTTAGATCACAATTTCATAAATTACATTTCTAATTTACTAAATACAGTGGCCTGAAACAGTAACGAACTTTCCAATCATGTAATTTGCTGTCCAGGAGTATCTAATCCATATAGAATCTGATAAATATCCAAAAAAGTACCCTCTGCTGTATAAATATCTACAGTTAATATCATATTTAATTTCTTCAAGATTCCAAAGAACTAAGTGTATGCTAAAACAATAAAGTAACAAACTAAGATGAGAAACAGAGTAGCTCTGTAGACAGAATAAAATTTAGAGAGAAAAATATTATGATTCAAAGGAAATTATGGGGATATAAGACACTTACAAATCTGAAGTTAGAATATTTTATTACCATGAAAACTTTAAAAATAGATAGAAACAATCCAATCTTTGACTATTTCCCCAATATCCTATTTTCCTAATAAACCGCATTTAGAGATTAGCATTCCCTTTACAGGGCAATATTTCCAAGACTATTCTTTGTATTTTTCATTCCTATTTAATTTAGTCAGCTAATTAACGACCAGTTAATTTAATCTGTTACTTCAAATAAGTGATAAGATGGAAATTTGCCATTTGGATACTGTTGGATTCTAAGAAGGTTTCTGGAGAAAGACTGGATGGGAATTTGATATGGGACGTTTTCAGAAGGAGATGACAGCAACATACTGCTTTCAGTAGGTCTGTTAAAAACACTGCCAATATATTCATTATAATGCATCCAAATATGAAAACAAATATATCATCCCACTTTTTTGCCCCTTTACTGGATTAAACTCATAAGTATATATAGGTGGTATATTTCAAATGAGTTAAAATAATTTACTGATGTAAAGTTCATAAATTTATGAGATATTTACATAGTATTTATAGAATTATACATTAGGTATGACTAAAATAATGCAGTATATTTAAAGCCATATATTCTCAGAATTCTATCTAATTACTTTATGGCCATATCTGGTATTAAAACTAGGGAATTCACTCAGTGAAACATACAAATACTCATTGTTTATTTCAAAATAAAGTTTCATTGAATCATAAATTTTAAAGAGTGAAGTTCAACATTTTATATTAGTTTGTCATGTCAGAGAAGATTATCTTGCTTATTACTTAAGTTCAATTCAACAGTTCAATCAAACAGTTTATTATCTATTTTAGTGAAATAATATACTGAAAGGCCCACTAGAAATCAAACACAAATCTCAATTTCTTCGAACTTGTACAAGAAATACAATACAAACATAATTGGTTGGCATTTGAAAGTAATATTTCTAAAAATGCCTATATGAGCAACGCATAATATAAATTCTTAAAATACTTATTTTAGTGAAAAAGCACAAGGAAGCTCAAATATAGTGAGTAACTTAAGTATTATGGAAAAGGTCATAGATTATGCTAAAGTTGAGATCCATTAGGTATTATTAAATTGGATTAAATTTGAGGCTTTGGCAGGCAAGCGAAATTCTGATATACTAGAACTACCAAAAGCAAACTTGCTGAATATTTACCAAGAAAAATTTCCCCCTTCCAAACTATTCAACTACCTGGCAGAGTATAGCTTTCTCCCCTGCAATTATAAATTATTTGCATAGGCATTTCCAGGACTGGTGAGCAAACTTATTATACACAAATATTGTCAAACTATAATATAAATTCAATTAACCATATAATCTTAGAGAATTAAGTCTGTCTTTTAAAAAATGAGAGGAGAAAAACTGAAGTAATTCAGCCTTAATTTTCTGAAGCTTGAATTACTTTCAATTCAAATAACAAAACTGCTATTTAGGGTACTAAAATGTGATTTTTTCTAATTAATCCAAATTGACAATGAAATTGTTACACACTATCTGTCTAATAATGTGCTACTGTAGTTAATAGTTTAATATAAATACTTGTTCAAAAATCTGCAATATTAATGCTAATTCTGAATGCTAGAATTAGAGAGCCAGCCTGAGGAAACAGAAAATAAGCACAAAATTACCAAAACAAAGCACAGCTAGATAATAGTATACCTTATTCATACGAACCCAGTCTAGAGCATTATTTTGGTTGAGATTTGTAAATGCTAACTTAAAAGATAGAGATAAACATATAAAAGACAACTTAATTTGTATTACTTATATTTCTGCCTGTAGGTAAATAAAATGACCAAAAGAGGGTGCCAATCTGCCACACTGTTGCTCAAAAATCTGTATTAAAACTAAGTAAATACAGATTATCCTATCTTATGCTGTTCCAAGTGGGAATTTAAAACAGCATTTCTTTGCCAAAATTAACAAGTTATAATAAGAAATAGCCCAATGATGAAAGCATTTTACATTTTCTTAATGAAGCACTAAAATAATTCTAAATGGGAGTCTATTATTTGAAAGCAGGTTATAAAATCCTTTACCTCTGATGCAAATAAGTAAAGATTAAGATACTCAGAAACATTTAGCATGAAATTTTAACGCATCCTAAAACTATGGTATAAAATTTATAGCTTCATAAATATCTTAAAAATAAAATCAGTAATGTCTTTAAATACAAGTATTATAGAACTAAGAGTACACAATTTTCACTTCCAACCTATACTTTTCTTTTTTGAGTTACAGTACCTGAGCAATGAACAAAAAAACTGGAGGATGAGAGAGTAGTATAACAATCATACAAAACTCACAAAATTATTTTGGCACAATTAAAAATCACAATTATGTTGAATGACACACATAATTAAGTGCTATAAATGACACTGATTAGTATTGTTTTTACAAAGCCAAATAAAGCATTTCAGAAGTAAGTCAAGAGATGAACTGGGTTGAGAAGGGGTTGCGGGGTGCGGGGCGGTGCAGGTGGTGGGAAGGGCACAGACTGGAGGATATTGCTGAAATATAAGCTCCGTGTGTACTTTTTTGTGTGTGGGGGAGGGTTGGGGTGTCTATTTTGTTCAGTGCTCTATCACCAGTGCCTGGTATTCAGCTCAGTACATTCTAAAGAACTCAATGAATGTTTAGGGACTGTTAAATGAAATAAGGATATGGTCATTTTGATGGAGCAGGCAGTAGACATGGATACTTAGCATTGAATTTTACTCATTATTAACTAATTATATAAGTGGGTTGCTATTAACCTTTTAGCCTCAGCATCTTTATTTGTAAAATGGGGAAAAGATTCACTATCTCACAGAGCTACTAAATGAATATTTTAAATGTATCCTATGTCATTCTTTAAAATGTTACACACATACAAGGATTACTTTCTGAGTATTTATATTTTTGGCCTCAGTATTTAGGTTGGGGCTCACATAGAAGAGGCAGTAACCCAGTAGTTAAAGTGATCAGAGAATGACTTACCAGTACCTGTAAAACAGGAGTAACCATCTAAATCAGATTTATTTCACACATTCTACAAAAGCCTTCAGATCAACAAGGAAAGCAAATAAAATGACCTACAGTCAACACCAACAGCATAACTAAAAAACAGAGACTTCTACGAATTTTAATTTACAGTAAATGGGGAAACTAACATCTGAAACCGTCAAAACCAGCTTGTAGAGGCCTTGCATATAAGAGTGAGGTGGGCATTGCAAACCACAAGCAATATCAACTTAGGATTTCCCCTAGAAGAAGAGTGAATGTGTCTAAGACCTAGTGGGTACCACAGTACTGGTTCCTGGAGAGGTGAAAGAGAGGGCTCCAAAAGTACTTTGGTTCAAAAGTTAAGTCTTGTGAGCAACACAAGAATGAGAGAGGTGTCCTTTGGAGCCTTGGCTACGAAGAAAAAGGAAGAAAGTAGATGAAGTTTAAAATCCCAAGAAACACATTAGTATCAAAGAACAGAAAATTAACCAACCAGCATCCCAAAAGACATCATTTATTAAGGAAACCACTCTTCACAGTTCCAATAATAAAAAACATTCTTGAACTAAGAAACCAAATACAGTATTCTCCCCTTAGCCATGGTTTTGCTTTACATGGTTTCAGTTATCCAGAGTAAACTGCAGTCTGAAAATATTAAATGAAAAATTCCAGAGATAAATAATTCGTAAGTTTTATTATTTTTATTTATTTATTTTTGAGACAGGGTCTCATTCTGTTGCCCAGGTTGGAGTGCAGTGGCGTAATCTCAGCTCACTGCAACCTCCACCTCCCGGATTCAAGCAATCCTGCCACCTCAGCCTCCTGAGTAGCTGGGACTACAGGCACACGCCACCGTGCCCAGCTAATGTTAATGTTATTTGGTAGAGACAGGGTTTTACGATGTTGCCCAAGCTGGTCTCGAACGCCTGGGCTCAAGTGATCCACCAACCTCGGCCTCCCAAAGGGCTGGGATTACAATCATGAGCCACTGTGCCTGGCCTAACAATTCATAAATTTTAAACTGCATACCATTCTGAGTACTGTAATGAAATCTCATGCTGCCCTATGGGATGTGAATCATGCCTTTGTCCAGTGTATCCATGCTGTATACATCACCTGCTCATTAGTAACTTAGCTGCCGTCTAGATTATCAGACTAACCAAGGTATCACAGTGCTTGTGCTCAAGGTTCATAGTAGCCTAATGCTATACCACAATGCCTATGACATTCATCTCATTTAAACTCATCACAAAAGCAATTTATCATCTCACATCATCACAAAAAGGGTAAATGAGATATTCTGAGAGAACACATCTGCATAGCTTTT